TTTTCTTTAATGTCATGTTGGTGACGTTGAGGGTAATTTTGAGTACATTAGGGGTCTTATTTAATAACTTGGTTACACTACTTGAATCACCTCCCTGTTAAGCATTTATTACTTTTGTTTATCAGTGAGTATTTTACATATAGTAAACCCAAAAGCAGCAGCAATAAAGAATAACAAATAAAGGTAATGTGTGTGGTAAACTGATAACTAAAAGCACATCAACAAACTCACTGTTAAGAACAGATCAAAAATGAACACGTGTGCTGAATAATGGAAGTAATAGGGTAGAACAAGATAAATGCAGGAAATACAAAGACCTTTCACTGATTCCAAATCTCCCGAACTGCAGTGCCTTGGGAGTGATCCTGTGAAAGCCTGTATATGAAAGTGTATTTGTAGAAGGAATTTAAAAGATGACAGATTTTGCTTGCCTAATTTCCTCAGGCAGGCCATTCCTAAATACAGGCGCCCTAACTGAGAAAGTGCAGTCACCTTTAGTCTTGAGCCTGGACTGTGGAACAACCAAAGGGCCTTGCCCGAGGATGTAAGGCTGTGTTCTGGCACATAAATAATTAAAAGGTCAGTGAGATAGCTAGGGACTAGACATTTCTTGATCTAAAAGTAATCAGTAGGATCTAAAAAAATCTTACTGTTAGCCAGTGCAGTTGTGCCAAGAAAAGATTTCCTGCTATTTAAGACTATTTCAATTTTCCATTTGCTGTGAGGATGTCATTTGCTACTTTAACAAGGGCTGATTCTGCGCTGTGTAATGCTCTAAAACCTGACTGGAATTTTTCAAAAGAATTATGGTACAGCCATGGAAGACCTTGAAATGTTGTCCTCCTATTTTTGTGAGGGGCAATCGATTCCAGTACTACCAAACAGGTTTGGTAAAAATGATTGTCTCATGAGTGTCCCTGTGATATACGCTTTAATTACTTCTTTAATAAAATGTATGGGGTTGATTGTTCTTATGTAGTTTGCATGATGCTTTGGCAGTATTGTTGTTATACATTCATGCCAATAAAGCTATTTTGAATTTGATATGCCATGACTAATGTATAACAGGAAAGCCTCAGAGGATGCGTTAAAGATGTGAGAACTGAGTGGTTCATGTTGCTTCCCTTTTCCCCATGAGCCGTGTCGTAACATCCCTTTTGAGAAGGAGCAGAGCATCAAATAGGATTGCTTTGTGATTAGACGGGTCGGACACACACACGATTTGTCTCAAAATGATTTAGGAGCAAGCCAAGTGAGATTAAGTCAAGAGTAATGGCCCTTTATGTGAGTAGACTCTTTGACAAATTTACCAATAAAGCACAATAAGCTACATAAAATAAGTGACAAGCAACACGTGTTAAAATGACCAAGTATTAAAATTCTGTCGTTTTTAGGCACAATGTTGGTTGATTCTTAACCCTTTTCCTTGTCCTATTGTTTTTATTCTTATACTATATGTTTTATTTTTTAGCATTTTTCAGTTTTTTATGTGTAGCACTTTGGGATTTGTTTAACTTGTGTTACAAATAAAAGCAAGGGAGCCTTACCATCTAGAAAACTCAGTGATTCAAAGGTGTTAAAAGTGGCATTACAGATGGGGGAACATTTTACACACTTTTTGTCAATTCTGCCACCACGACAAGATAGCTAAGGTTGAATTTCATATACCTAGGATGTGTGGCAGTAGAGTAGAGATCAGTAGAGTGAAGTTTCAGTAATCATAAAAAAAAAATCGAGATGGGAAGAGTTAATAAATTCGTGGCAGATCCCGTTGGAGGGATATCTAACATTCAAAAGTTCAAATCTGATGGCTAGGTTGAGTGTATGATCTATACTTGCAGACAATTTCTAAAAGATTCTGAGAATGAATGCCTCTTAGGTATTTCCCTTGTAATAACAGGAATAATGGAGGGGGCGGAATTATCAATAGTGCTGTTTTTGACAGGCCAGTCACTGGTTATTTTAATTTTGACCCAGAACCACAGTTAACGTCCCTGGGTATGTCAATCGGTGATGGAGATTTTGCATCTGTTTGTGGCCACAGAGTGATGATGGTATGTGGTTAAATAAAATATGTTACCAATGGCTTATAACTACACTATACGTAGGTGTATGCAGATACAATTGTACTCTATAACTTCTGTGGGCAACCATAAGTGGAGGCGGTGTAAAATCAGATTATGAATGGCAGTATAGTGAACAGTAGAAAAATGTCTTCATGGGAGAAGTTATAATTGTTGTTAAATACTATACATTAAATATCGTATACACAGACAGGAAGGTATATTGAAACTAAGGAAAGAATAATAAAGAAAGTTTTATTTATTTTTATTCCATTTTGCTTTTTTTAACCAGGTAAAAGTCTCAAGAGACACCTGGGTAAAGGGCAGCATAAAAACATTGTTGCAACAATAAGACAAACTGTCACATGCTACAAAAGAGATATTTAAGCAAATCTCTGTCCTGGCAAAACAGAAGATGACCACACCCATGGCATTACCTACAGGGAGTTTGTTGAAATCAAGTAATATCTGTTGAACATTTTGCAAAGCAAATAAGAATTAATTTAATATTTATTATCTGGCATGTTTGGGCGTTTCTTGTGCACCGACTTGAAATAGTGTTTTAAAACTGTGTTTCAGCTCTTAAAATACTTGTGATGGCTGAAAGCTCTTGATGATCTAAAGTCCTGCCAAGAGTGAACCACTCCACAGAGGCCTGAACTATGGCCAGCTGAATCTGGTAAACAAATACACTCTCACTGTGTACACATGTTAGTGGTACAGTAGTACACATGTTTTTTATAACTGACATTCAGATCTTTGGCTCTTCTGTTAATAATCTCTCTATGAAACTGCACTTTTCTAAGGGCCCAACATATTTTTTTGGAAAACAGAAAGTTAATAGTTAACTAATATTCAAAACACAGCTGGTTTTGTACACGTGCAATAACAAATCACAAACATGAACAAATTCATGTGATCAACAACTGTAAATGTTAATCATTTACAGTTACATCAGTCATTCACATTTTAGTTGATCCTGTCAGACTTTTAATAGAGCTGAGTGATAAATGATACAGTAAGCAAAACAAATGTTGTGTTATTACAAGCAATAAAAATGGAGAGTTAATGTCAAAACTCCATAGTCCTCTAATCACCTGTTATTAATAGATCTGTCTAGTTAGCCTTGTCTTGAAACACACATACTGGTACTGTGCAGAAATAGAACAGTTAACTAAAACGGATGTGTTGTGTACACAAAGCAGGAGTTTATTGCATTTTTGCATTGCATAATTCTTAATACAATACTTGCGCTACCTCTTTTCAAACAGATTTTTAAGTATTATCAGCAAGATGTACATCTTAGCTTAGCATGTATGCATGCTAACATTTACTGTTTTGCACTAAACACAAACAACAGCTGAGGCTGATGGGAATAACATTTTGCAGGTATAAACCAGAGTACTGGGCAAATTGAAACTTGAACCAGATGGTCTAAAAAACTAATTTTTCAACTCAATTTAGCCTAGTTTTTCACCCTGTCACCTGTGCATCTTTTGAATCATCAAATCTTTGATTACTGGGGGAGTTTGGGGACTTCCATGGGGCTCAAAAAAATGACAAACCACGCACTTTCACTTCACTTATTAGAAGTCAGCCTAAAGACAAAGGTGACTGTTTATTGTACTGATCGGTGGATACAATGTAAGTCCTATAATTCTGCATAGGTGTCATCTATAAACTCTTGTCAGTCCATAAGGGACAACTACAATATGAATTCAGCTTGAGTGGTTATACAGTAAACATGTGGTAAGCCAATGCCAGCATAAAGACATAAGTAAATGTAGCAATAAAATAAGGTAAAATACTTGATTAAAAGTAAAAGTCATGCAGTACAGTAAAATAATCTTTATTTGGTCTTGAGTAAAAGAAAATAAAAGTTAGGGCATATGCACATGTATACAGTAATGTACACCCACATACAGCACATATACAAATGTACATGCATGCACATGCATAAATGCACATACAGTATAAACACACATTGAAACACACATACTGGTACTGTGTAGAAATTGAACAGAATAACTAAAACGGATGTGTTGTGTACACAAAGCAGGAGTTTATTGCATTTTTGCATTGCATAATTCTTAACACAATATTTGCGCTACCTCTTTTCAAACTGATTTTTAAGTATTATCAGCAAGATGTACATAATCTATCACAATTATCTATCTTCTTGTAAATTGGTCTTGAAACAGTGTGCAAGTTAAAGTTAAATTAAAGCTGATTCTGATATTCATATTAAAAGTAAAAGTAAGATTATACTGTATATTCTAATTATTTGTTGGATTACAAAATATACAAATCAAATGCATTAAATCCATAACCTTTTGATGTTGCAAATGGCTGAGGTGGTGCTAATAGTCTAAGTATTTTATAGCTATTTTAATAAATATGATGATATCATTGTGTGTTAATGATACATAAAAATATGAATCTGTAATGAAACTAGTAATTATAGATTATGTCAAGTAGTGGAGTACTTTTAGCAGTGTAAGGTAACATGAAATAGAAACATTCAGGTAGCCTATAACCCAAACTTGTACTTGAGTAAATCTACTTTAAAGTACTGCTATTTACACATAAATTCAGCGGGTTATTAAAAGACGAGTACCTGCTGCAGCTTGTTATTATGTAACTGTTTAAAAAATAATGTTATTGACTCGAGCGATTTGATCGTCCACCCGAAAGGACATGAGCGCACGCGGCGTGGCTGTACTGTACAGTTGGGGTTTCACCCTTCACGTTGTGCTCTGCAACGTGACCGCTATGTTACCGTCCCACGTTACGTTGACATAAACGCGCTTGGCTCCGCCCCTCTCGTGTACTGAAAGTGTGTCACTGGGTTAAAGTGGCTCGAGCGGCCGGGCGGAGGGGCGTGGCCGAGAAATGGGTCACATGGGCGAGCTCACTATTGAGAACATTTAGTTCTCTTGACTAACCCGCAGTCACTTACAACAAGGAGGGAGTTCCTGCAATTCAGACGTAACATTTACGTTCTCGGTTTGTCCTCTTTGGAGCTGCAGATTAGTATCCCGAAGTATAACGTTACTCCTGGAATGAGCCTCAGTACCATCTTTCTACTCCTACATACATACAGTCGCCAAGTTTAGTCTCAGTCGTTTTTTTCCTGACAGTTACAGAAGTCGTGACAGAAGAGTTTATTTCAATTTCGTTGGGAGACTTTCCTTTTTCCTCGAACAGAGATGCCTGAGGAAGTTGGAACAGCCAAGCCAGGTAAGAGAACACTGTTTGATATAATAATGTATTACATGCACTGACTTGGACTTTGCTGCATTGATGGTGTCAACATTCGTATATCAAGTTTAATTATGTTCTCGCTATTTAACCCACCAGTCATTTGCTATTATTATGAAACTAAAAATATATTTGTGGTTTAAAATCACTGAATGCATATAATGAGTATTACCAAATCGATCTAGGCAATGTATATTTTTAGCAAGGCTAAACTTGCTATAATGTTAACTAGTGCGGCATCATTATCATCCACTCGGTGTCAGAAAATGTTGACACATTTTTATTAATTGTTTTATTACATTATCGTGTAGTTAAACTTTGTTAGAAACGCAGTTCTGGCCGTGTTACTGTATTTTAAAACGGGGTTAGGAGTGTCAGTGCGGCGCTGCGTCGGCGTTACCTGTATGCATTTGACACAACAACAGTGTTTATCTTCCCCGGTCCTGCTCACATGGACAGCGTAGCCTAGCCATGTGCCCGTGTGTGTACACGGGTTGGAGAACACTGCTCTGATTGGTCGAGGGGCGTTCCTGTCCGTTAGCAGAGCTCTTCGCTGATTGGCCGGAGCAGGCCCCATGACGCAGAACATTGCATAATCGACGCTGTACACAGCACTCCCGACGCGAGGCTGTACTGCAGGATACACGTGAGGCGGTGGGAGACCGCAGCCACTGACCTAGATTTGTTTCTCCTCCTCGCGCTTGGCTTTCACAGAAATTCATGACAGGTCCACGTGTGGGTGGGCCGTAAAAGAGAACAGTCATGGTTGTGGTTAGGTAATCGTGTGCTGCAGCTGCGTCTAAATTTAGGGTGTTTTAGAGTTAATGAAGAAGAACACATTGAAGCTTTTACACAAATATTCCAATAAAGACGTACACGTGCGCAGTTTTCTGAGTACATTTAACTTTTATATAAATGGAAACCAAGTAAGCATGTTTGGTGTGTTAATATTGCACACTGCCCTACTTAAAATGACTCCCGTAAACACCATGACAGTGCCTTGCTTAAGGGCAGTTGGATCAAAGAACTTGAAGTATTGTTAAATATATTTGGAATGAATATATAATAAAATAATCAGTTTTAAGTTATTCTGAATGCATTTATCAATTGGTATGTCCAATCTTGTGTTTTTGAAACAGTTGTGCAGGCTCTTGTTGTGGATCCAGTAAACTTTTAATTACAAAGTCTTGCTACAAAACAGTCACCAGAGTGCTTTTCTGGCCAAAAATGTCATGGCATAACCCTGTGGTGGATGTTATCCCTTTGCATTCTTTTGTTGCTACAACTGTTATGATGTTCTAGTGCTTCAGTGACCCTGTCTGGTCGTCAGTCAGTGGAGCACATTCCCATAGCATAGAGTTCCGGGCATGTTATATAACGTGTTATCCAACCAGCAAGCATGGGAGGTGATAAAGCAGGTCAATCACACCAACCAAGAAACACATAGGCGTGCCAGACGCACCTGTTTTTACTGTACTGAATGAGTTTTTTTATTTGGCAAACAAAGCTATTTCTGCAGCAACTCTATCATCTTTTTTATAATCTGTCACTGCCCTAGAGCCGTCCCAAGCCTGAAGAATAGTAGAGTTTAAAAAACATTTACACAACATTGATATCTTGATGTGCCTGCTGAAATGGTGTGTTTTGTTTCTCAGAAATGGATTTACTTTGAAAAAAGGTGTCACATGTCCCGAGATGGCAAGTCTTGCATTGTGTATTTGCTTAATGCAATGGTTCATTACCTTACGGGAACAACAGCAGTAGAAGGAGTCTGAATGTCTACATTGGCACCATTATTTACAGTTACAGTTAAAGAGTCTTATAACAAAACGGGAAAAAAATTTACTTATTGGAAATAATTTATCTGCTCTAACCTTCTCTCTCTCTCTCTCCCCCCATAGGAGGAGTCATTGCCTATATTTCCTCTGGCTCTGCCTCCAGCCCAGAGTCCTGTATGACCACCACCCCCAGCAGTGGCTACCTGTCGACATCACCAACTTTGCCCCGCCCCTCGCTGCCCAGCAGGGCCGTGGGCATGGTGGTGGATATCTCTCCACCGGGCAAGAATGGCCACCAGCGTGGCCACGGCACGGAGAAGGCCGGGCGCTCCTCCACATCCACCAAGAGCAGCATCACCAGTAAGTACAACATCAACAAGTCTTGCCATTATTGAAATACTAGGCTAAAAATGTTGCATATCTTGATCTGGTGCATGTGAATCACTGCTTATCTTTTTGCAGAAATCAATGGCATGGTGCTGTTGTGCAAGGTTTGTGGTGATGTGGCCTCAGGTTTCCACTATGGCGTCCATGCTTGCGAAGGCTGCAAGGTGAGACAAGTTCCTGCAATGAAGCGTTGCGCTTCTGCAAGTTTGATTCATATCCTCTTGCTGATTGTACATGCTCACATGACTAATGCTCCACATGGGGATTTGTGGTTCCTTAGGGCTTCTTCAGAAGAAGCATCCAGCAGAACATCCAGTACAAGAAGTGTCTTAAGATGGAGAACTGCACCATCATGAGGATCAACAGGAATCGCTGCCAGCAGTGTCGGTTCAAGAAGTGTCTGTCTGTCGGCATGTCCAGAGATGGTGAGCAGTACATTTAGTTTAGTTTCAGTTAGCCTTTTGCCTAGTTTATCACCATACAGTTAAAGCAAAAAGCAAAAAGACACCTGCTGATTGGTGTGTAAACAGAAGTGCAACAGTATAGCTGCAGTTTCTTGCCCCATGCAATTAATTTACTCTCAAACTTATTCTTGGTGCCGCTTAATAAGTCGTAAATTTTGACACAATCTAATGGCTGTCATTTTTTTACTCTCAGCTGTCCGATTTGGCCGCATCCCAAAGCGGGAAAAGCAGAGGATGCTGCTGGAGATGCAGAACGCCATGAACAACATGATGAGCAACAACAGCCAGCTGCACGGCATGCTGCACGGCCACCAGAGCTCGTCACTGCCCATGGAGGCCATGACCAACGATGTCAGCTCTTCTGCCTCTTCAGCCTCCTCTTCTTCTGATTCCCTGTCGTGCTCCAACCCTTCCTCCCCGCAGTGCCCCCAGGACTCAGAGTCTGTGGTTTCCATGGACACCAACTCCAGCTCTGCTTCCTCCTGCGCATCAGACAGCGGCGAGGACGAGGCCGTCGTTACAGTGAGCAGGCAACATCAAGATGCCTTTGCGTTTAGCCAGCAGAGGTCACCAAGACAGAGCCAGGCCTCTCCCTCGCCGGTCACTGGCGCCCTGGAGACGCCGTGCAACAGCCGCATGGAGGAGCAACAGGAGAGCTGGAACTGCTGGAATCGCAATGTGGTTGTGAGAGGTTACCAGCACAATTCTAACAGTCAGCACATCACCAACACTGCTTACAGGGAGGAGGGGGGAGTTTACCAGCAGCAGCCTCAGCAGCAGCGGCCTAACAGCACTCCTAGCTGTGAACCATCAGAAGACAGCCAAAGACAGCATGAGTTTAACACACAAACTGCCTCAAGTGGTTATAGTGGACCAACCAACTACATGAATAATAGAGCACACTTGGTGAGTAGTAAATATTTTCAGTTCTTAAAATTCATATTTGCATTATTGAAAACTACACTGGACTTTTGATCACCTTCCCTGATTGACCTTCTGTCTTCATGTTTTGCCAGGTCTGTCCGATGAACACATCACCCTACGTGGATCCCTGCAAGCCGAGCCAGGAGATCTGGGAGGAGTTCTCCATGAGCTTTACCCCCGCCGTGCGGGAGGTGGTCGACTTCGCCAAGAGGATCCCAGGCTTCTGCGACCTCCCCGAGCGCGACCAAGTCAGCCTGCTCAAAGCTGGAACTTTTGAGGTAAGAGGGCAAACAAGCCAAACATAAACACTTTGTGTTAGTTTGTTTTTGCTTTGAAGTCGAACGGTGCAGGCTGAATATAATGTCCACTGTGGCTTTCCCAAACAGAGCAGACTGTCAGCTGTGTGTGCTGACTAATATTTGCTCTGATAACAGTTGCATTGGAAATGAAAGAGACTTTACTTTTCGTTCTTATGTGGAAAGAGATGTAGCTGTTGCTATTTAGATGAGTATGTTTTACTTGAACACAGATTTATCCAACCCCTTGGTTTCTGTTCAGTATGGTGCAAAAGTTGCCCTTTCATGTTTTGCTCATAAAGCACTGACTCTAGATACTGTACGCCTTAAAAGAATACATAGAAAACATATTTCAAAATGACAGTTGCTTCATTCTCATCTGTTAAAAAGGTTCACATCATAAAACCAGTGTCAGAATTATTGTTCATACAGTAGAGCTTTATTTTTACCTGCACAAATCAAACCATAGCATAAACTAAAATCGCTCTCTTTCCCTCTCTCGACTCCAAGGTGCTGATGGTCCGATTCGCGTCCCTGTTCAATATGGTGGAGCAGACGGTGACCTTCTTGAGCGGCAAGCGCTACAGCCTTGACACGCTACGGTCGCTGGGCGCCGGCGAGCTGCTCAACTCTATGTGCGAGTTCAGCGAGAAGCTGGCAGCGCTGCAACTCGACTCGGAGGAAATGAGCCTGTTCACAGCCGTGGTGCTCGTCTCAGCCGGTAAGAACAACAGTCGGAATATGTTGTTGTTATTACAAGGCTCAAAATGAACCCAGGAGCAACAAATACCTGATCTATTCTATGACCTTTTAAAATAGAATATATTTAAAGCAAAATGTACATTAGTTTTGCTAGAAAACTATCAAGTGATCTAAAACACTAATGAAGCCCTGATCTGTCCTCCCGCGTTAACCCTTTCTTCCTTTTTGTTCTGGCTCAGATCGCTCAGGGATCCAGGACCTAAACTCAGTTGAGGCCCTGCAGGACAAACTGATCCGGGCACTGCGAAACCAGGTGATACAGAACCACGGCGACGAGGCGTCCACCACCTTCACCAAGCTGCTGCTCAAGCTTCCCGAGCTGCGTTCACTCAACAACATGCACTCAGAGGAACTGCTCTCCTTCAGAGTTCACCCTTAAAAGCTTCCTAGGTGGGGTACATCTGTGCCCTCCATGTTATCCACACACCTCCACCAGGACCTGCCTCTTACTGCCCCCTCACCTTCTGTTCGACCAACCCACAAAGTTGTGTGTTCCTAGAATGTATTAAAAGTTATTTTTTATTATATTTTTGTTAAAAAGACCATCTGGGGTCTGAAGAGAGAAGAATATAAAACTGTACTGTATTTATAGAAGAGATATCTTACGCTTCTTGCACAGAAACACACGCAAATGCACGTGTGTTTGAGTTGCTTAGTTTTGCAAAATTGGAGGCGCTTTTCTATTTTCCAGAGAAAGAAAAGAACTGGCTTTAGGAAATTATAAGAGACTATAAACCAATTGGTCAATTCAAAAGCCATTTTATTTCAAAGTGTATTTTCTGATAAGTGGGAGAATGTGAGAGACAATATATGCCTTACATACTGCATGTTTGTTTGGTTCAATATTGTGAGTAACACATGGGAGCAAGAAAGGCAGGCTATCAGAAAATGTATGGAAGTATGTCTAATGATTGCTGCTAATGCATGGCTGTACTTAATGCGAACAACTATTTCTTGGATCTTCTCCCCTTGCCTCAGAAAGCATCAGTTCTTTGTTTCAGTGTGTATAGTTTATATTTTCTTTTCTTTGTATTTAAATTTTTTATGTGTTCAAGTCCATGTGAACTGCCTGTACACTGCCTGGTGATTTCTGGGGGAGTTGATGACGCCATTTTCAGCAACACTGTATTTGCACATGTTCTGGAGCAGAAAAACTAATTAACACAAAACCCACAAAAAGGTGTGACACAGCATCAAGTAGGCTACCGGTCACACGCAAGAGTTTTTGCTGTTCTCCAACTTTCCGGTTTTTATGACACTTTTCTTTTTTGTCTTTTTTTTTAATGAAACGTTGTGTGCTTTCAGCATAGCACTGATTCTGACACTTGTTTTTGTTATTCATTGTGTTGAAATATCTGTTTCTTTGACTGGCAACACTGCCATATGTTAATAACTATATATATATATATATGATGGACATAGCATATAAATATGATATAGTATGAATAAATACAAGACAAGAATGCTCTGTGTAGTTTGTGTTTTTATTGATGGGATACAAAGTATTTTGAATGAATGAAGCTAGTGACAGCACATTCATTGACTGTGGTTTTCCACTAGGTGGAGCTACTTGGACACAGCATATTGATTTAAACTTGTTAAATGTAATTTCCTCACTTGAAAACCGTAAGTTACCAGTTTGTCATTGCAAATAGTTGCATAACATTAATCAATTTTGAGTACAAAGATCCACAAGTAGTCTGCAGATAGACATCCATACATTTAAAATCAAAGACGACACTTATCTCAAGGCTTTATTCCTTCCCTACTTTAAATTTGTGGCAGAATTTTAGGCATAATTCCAATTAGCTTGATGCAGAACAGGTGCACAGATTTAAAGGGAAAATTAAAGTCCTATAACGAATTTAATGTCTTTTCCACAGAGACTCAATGTTTTAGCAAGAAGAAAAGCTCTCCAAATGTAAATAGTTGCAAATTGTTAATGAGTTTACAGTCCAGAGATCCATGAGCAGTCTACAGAACGACTTCTAAGTTAACAGAATCTTAAACTGCACTTATTTTTAATTTTGAGGTTGGTTTGTGTGTTGGAATGAGCTTCTAGATGTATTAGGCTAATTTTCTTTTGTCTTTTTTTCTCCCTGAATTTAAGCATTACAGAAAATAAAGAGAAATTAAGAGAAAGTCAACTTTAAAACTATTAACTGCTGATAATGATAAAATATATAAGATTATTATTTATTTTAAGCCACACCACAGCCTACAAACTGGGAACTGAGTAAGGAATGACACAGAATATATATATATATGTGTGTGTATAATTTCCAGTTTTAGATGTTCCTAGTTAGACATTTACTTAAGTACAGTTTTAAGGTACTTGCACTGTGCTTGAATATTTTATGCTACTTTATACTACTAGTCCACTACACATTTTAGAGGCAAATATTGTACTTTTTACTCTGAGTAATGATCTTTTTGATAATAAGAATATCTTAATATATTACCAGTTACCTTGCAGATTAATTACTCAAAATAAAATCAACTTAATTCAATTAAAATATATTATTCTAGATGACCTAGCAGAATATTAAGAAGTTGAAATGAGCTCCACCAGCTGCAACATTAAGGGGATGTAGGCTACACATTATTGCAGCAATCACTATAAGTCACAATAATCTTATATTAGGCCTATTCTGAAATGGACCATTCATGGAATTCATTCATGGCATACTTTTGTTACTTTAAGTACATTTTGATGCTAGTACTTTTGTACTTTTACTAACGAAGATTTTAAATATAGGACCTTTGCTTATAAGAGAGTGGTTACACCTGTGTTTTTCCTGCTTCGACTTGGTGGGAAATGATGGTGTGCTATATCCACTGTATCATGTTTTGGCCAATTTAAAGTGTTGTCTGAATGTCAATTATAATTAGGCTATTAGGCTACCTCTACACAGGACTTACATCCCACAGTGTTTTGTAAAAAGCAGTGTACAATCTGCTAACTGAGGGCTAACATGAATCATGAACAGCAAATTTAGAGCTTTTGGCAACAAAAGACAGCCTGCATTAAAATTCGGACAGTTTACACCTGGCATTAACATGCACCTTTCTTGGGTGATCTGATCACATTTGGACAGCTCCAACTAGTCAGGTCATCAGTGTTGGGAGTAACGCGTTACAAAGGTAACGCAATTACAGTAATGTATTGCTTTAACTATGACTAAAAAAGGGTATTATATAATCTCAGTAACGCGTTACAACGCATTTTAACCTGAAAGTAAGTGGTATTTTGTTTTTTTAATAATTCACTAACACCGAGAAACATTTCGGCACCAGAAAAACAAATCCATGAGTGAAAGAGTAACGTAATTTCCTGTTGCGGGAATCCTATGGTCGATATTGTACCCTGGCAGGGTGCAAACTAGGGGTAGCTCGGCTCCTCTTAACAAGACGGTTCATGCCCATATAGATTTCTATAAATATGTGTTTGTGTTTTAACGAATAACTTTCAGATTACAGATTACAGAGGCTGCTGTCAGATCATCCTGACCGATGTCGGAGTGTAGGTACATTCAAATAATCAATGACGTTATGCAGCTGAACCGCGTGCATAAATGCGCACAGCGTCTTTCCTAATGGGGAGACGAATCATCCTATTTCACCCATCCACCCTCTACTAATCAGAACCTTAATTTTTATGACAGATAACTCTGCACATCACTAACCACCTATGGAGCACGTCTTACAATTAGTATAATGTGGCCATTAAATAATAGCCTAATGAAAGTAACTCAAAGTAAGGCAAAAGTAGGCTAGTGTAAAGAATTACAATTCTAAGACAGTACTAATATTGTAATATAACTAATTACTCTCAAATGACAGTAACTAGTAATCTATAATGTATTACATTTTGGAAGTAACTTGCCAAACACTGCAGGTTATACATTGCTACCTAAGTTGGTTGGTAGGTAGGTTTATTGTCGCAATATAACACTTAGAGAGTGAAATTGAGTTTTGTAACTCCCTTCTGCTACATAGCAGACAATATACATTATACAGAATCAATTATAAGAAATAAACTCTAATCAATGGAGCAGTGCTGAGGATGAATTTGAGTTTAAGAGTCTGATAGCTTGGGGGAAAAGCTGCTCTGCAGTCTGGTGGTGCGGCAGCAGAAACTTCTATATCTCTTCCCAGAAGGCAGCAGGGTGAACAGGCTGTGGCTGGGTGGGGACTGTCCTTTAGTATCCTATGGGCTCTGCATAGGCACCTCACCTCACCGATATCACTGATGCTCGGGAGATGGGTATCAATGATCTTCTGAGCAGTTTTAATCACCCGCTGCAGAGCCCTCTGGTCCTGGGCCGTGCACATCCCATGGCAGTTTGTGATGTTTCCAGTCAGGATGCGTTCTATTGCTCCTCTGTAAAAGCTGACAAGAACTTGGCACGGGAATTTAGCCTTCTTAAGCTTCCTTAAGAAATATAGTCGTTTCTTTCTTCCCCAGCGTGGAGATGTGAGATGACCATGTCAGGTTCTCTGTGATACTGATTCCCAGGAACCTGAAACTGTTCACCTGCTCCACCTCAGCACTACTGATGTAGACAGGAGTGTGCGTCTTTAGCTCCTGTTTCCTGAAATCAATGATCCACTCCTTAGTTGAGCTGATGTTGAGCTGTAGGTTTTTCTCTGTACACCACTGTGCAATATTATCAATTTCCTCCCGATATGAAATCTCATCGTTGTTTGAAATCTGGCCGATGATGATGTCATCCACAAAAGAATTCTCTCCATGTTGGGGGATGCAGTTGTGGGTGTACAGCGTGAACAGGAGGGGGCTGAGCACACAGCCCTGGGGTGCTCCAGTGTTGAGAACTAGAGTGGAGGAGGTGTGTCCGCCAGTCTGAACTGACTGGGGTCTGTTTGTGAGTGTTGTATGTAAACCCAGGGTGCTGAGTTGCTGACCACTTCCATGGGGGAGATTGTGTTGAATGCTGAGCTGAAATCCACAAACAGCATTCTGATGTTGGAGTTGTTTTTCTCAAGGTGTGTGAGGGCTGAGTGGACGGCAGTGGAAATGGCATCCTCTGGGGATCTGTTGCTTCTGAAAGCAAACTGGTGAGACTGGCTGGGATGTTGTTTTTTATGTGCTGAAGAACCAGTTTCACAAAACGCCTCATCAGAATGGGGGTGAGAGCCACAGGACGGTAGTCATCAGACTAGACACTGCAGACTTCTTAGGTACAGGAACAATGGTGGCTGTCTTGAAGCAGGTGGGAACCCTCTCCTGAGACAGTGAGATGTTTTAAATGTCAGTCAGTAATAACAACTAACTGATTGGCACAGGTTTTTAGTTCACAGCCAGGAATGTTATCAGGCCCAGCAGATTTACTCATATTCACTCTCAGCAGGACTCTCCTCACATCTGCTGTGGATACTGACAGTGGCCGGTCCTCTGGAGGTGGAGGAAACTTTACAGCTGACTCCTTGCTGAGGAGATCAAAGCGAGCATAAAAGGTGTTACGTTCATCTGGTAATGTGGCCTCACACATGATGGGGAGCTCCTGCTTTTGTAGCCTGTGATGTTTTTGATGACATATATATTTGGTGTTGTTGGTGTTGAGGTCTCTCTCCAGTCTCTGCTGATGTCTCTGCTTTGCCTCCTTGATGCCAGCTTTCAGTCTCGCTCTGGCAGTGCTGTAAGCTTCTTTATCACCTGACGGAAAAGCAGCTCTTTTCAGCTGAGGATGTGCTCTAGTGTGCCTCTCTTCAGTCACAGAGGGCGAGCTGGTGACTTCACCTTATCCCTCAGAAATAGAACTCAGGCTTGTACTACTTGGAGTTTGACACTTGCACCGTCTGCAGATGCATTCAGAGCTTCCTTTGCCATATGTTGTTGCCCTTGTCTGTGCAGACAGGGAGCATTAAGAAGATGTCAATTAAGAACAGTGTGTACAAAGTAAAAACACATGTAGTTGTGCACCATGTGATAATATTAAAATTGAATAGATGAGTTACTTCATCCAGCTTGGTGTCTCCGAGTTAATTGCAATCATGCACACAAAAATAACTAACTAATATTAAAACTCACTAACGGGTGCAACATGCACCATAGTTTTGTCATGTTACCAGTACACTGAAAGGGTTTTTTAGGTCAGCATAGAATTCGTCTCTGCAGACATTTTAACATGACTAGATTGTCTTTGTAATCACATTCAAATCTCTTTAAATGTATAATTCAAATTTAAGTGACCACACAATATCAACATCCACTCAGATCATATGATGATTGAAATTTGGCAGTCAAAGAGATAAGTAAAGGAAAAGAACTCGTAAACTTGAAGATTCATTCTAATGTTTTACGTCATGGAAATTAGATTTAATAGTAGTAGTAACTGTTTAAAAGTATTAAAACATGCAGGTATAAAATACATTTAATGTAAATTTACATCGTGCAAAACCTTTTTATTCAATCAGCTCTCACCAACCAAGAGGCCCAAGAGGATTTAGAAACTTGGATTCAACACAGCTGCTCAATAAAGGTCATATAGAAGAATTCATGTTTTTAGATGGCAGGGAACAATAGATACAAGTATCCTTGACATTGCCCAATAACGTTACTAGTGGTCAAAAGTGCTCTACGGGGGATTTCTAAATTAGGTGATTTCTTCAAGTGCATTGTTCTTGAACAAGTTCACCGAGTTCCAAACTGCAGGTAATTTGCATTCAAAGCTTTCCAGATGATTCATTCAAATCTAACTGACCACATAATGTCAACTTCCACTCAGGTCTGATTATGTAAATGTGATCATCAAAGAGAAAATCCCTGGTTTACGTGAAATTTTCCCCACGAGTATTATAAAATCCAGGTATTAATAAAGTTTGATTTAACACTGATGCTAGGTCAGTTGCAGCTTGTAGTTTGATATTTTTGTCAGGAATTTGGCTTTGAACCCAGATGCAGACAAGTAGACAGTTCATGAAGGTTAAACACAGTTTATTAAACACAGAGGAAAAGTGAAGCAGAGATTGAGGCTAAGCAGATAACTCCTCAGGTGCGGACAGGAGTGGCTGGTAAGGGCGAAGGCAGGCAAGGCAGAAGAGATGGTAGCTGTCAGGAGAGCGGGTCCATGACGGCGTGTCTCCAACAGTGTCTTCCGTGAGCTGAGGAGTACGAAGGCACAGTCACCAGGATCTCTAGAGCTGAGCACAAGAAACAGAGTTAACTACAGGTAGACAGGTTAAGGGAAGCAGGTACAAACTAGACATAGTGTCCCCTACAAACATGATTTAATCCAGATTACTGGAAACAGGTGTGCCAATCACGGATTGCCTGCAGCTGGGAAGATCGCCCAGAGTTACCAGAGGCACAGCCCACAACTCATTGGCGACCTGTCCAGGGTGTACCCCACCTTTCTCCCGATTTCAGCTAGGATTGGCTCCAGCCCATGCGACCCTGTATGCAGGATAAGCGTTTCACGATGGATTGATGGATGGACAGTCCACAACTCCGCCCTGAGGGAGAGGAAGGAAAAGACAAGCGAGAGGGAGAGGGAGAGAAAGCCAGAAAACACACAGACAGACACAAACCAAAACCCACCAAGCACCTCTCACTCGCTCAAAAAGGCAAAACAAACTCAAAAACACACAACACACCAACTGTCACCTCCCCACTAGTGGCACTGTGACAATTTTGCGATTTACACTAATTCGCTTTCAGGATGTATGCTTATTCACTTTCTTGCTAAGGGTAAGATGAGAAGATTGATTGACTGATTGGTACCACTGTCATGTCTCTCTGTTAAATATGTTAATATTAAATTAAATATTAAATGTTATGTTTAGGCAGGCTAGTTGTTTCCCCCTGCTTACAATCTTTATGGTAAGCTAAGCTAAATGGCTGTCTTTTCCGTCATACAGAAATATCGTATCATGATAAGCATGAAAGATAATACGTTTATTTCCTGAAATGTTAAACTTTTCCTTTAAGATTGTGGAAAGAAAGACATTGGCAGAAAAGTGGCAAGTCCCTTTTGAGGTTTATTACGGCTGTTATTATTTTCAATAATACAAAACACATGATCAAAGCCTGGTGGATTTTGAGGAAAAGCATTTACTTTCTAGAAGCCCCAATTGAGATTATTTCTTTTCTGGTCCTCTTTCAGGATATATTTCAGATAACTTTAACTGAACTTTTTTGGGTCAGACAGTGCTGATAACATTAAAGTTTGGAGGTGTATAAATTCAAACACCTAGGCATGCAGACTGCTTCTACAAACATTTGTGAAAGAATGGGTTGCTCTCTGTGGTACCGTGATAGGTTTCACCTGTGCAAGTCCATTCATGAAATTTCCTCACTACTTAATATTACACGTTAATTGTCAACTATTAATTGTATTATAACAAAGTGGAAGCGATTGGGAACAACAGAAACACAGCCACGAAATGGTGGCCCACATAAACTCATTCTAGTGAAAGGTACTGTTAATACATCAGCATACCAAGGCATTTTGCACAATTTCATGCTCCCAGCTTTGTGGAAACAGTTTGAGGATGGCCCCTTCCTGTTCAAACATGACTGCGCACCAGTGCACAAAGTTAGGTCCATAAAGACATGGATGAGTAAGTTTTGTGTGGAGAACTTGACTGGCCTGCACAGAGTCCTGACCCCAACCCGATAGAACACCTTTGGGATAAATTAATTAATTAATTGAATCCTAAACCTTGTGGAAAGCCTTCCCACAAGATTTGAAGATGTTATAGCTGCAAAGGGTGGGCCAACTCCATATTAAACCCTTCGGATTAAGATTGAGATGTCATTAAACTTCATGTGCCTGTAAAGGCAGGCTACCCCAAATTTTTGGCTATATAGAGTATGTACATAAATATAAATATCCAACAAATATTTCTACTTGTATAATCTGCATATGATCACCTTCAAATGATTTAGTATATTTGAATTATATTTTAAGTCCAACTTTTGTTCAGACTGTTACAAAGAAAAAGGCTGGGCTTTTTGGCAGCAAGGGTGTGTCACAATTTTCTTATCCAATCGGTCTCATCATTCAGCTTTAGATTAAACTGTACTGATTTGCATTATCTTATAAAAATAGCCTCAAACACAATAGTAGTAGTCAAACACTGAAGAGGACAGATTTTGGTAAGTTGATATCTTAGAAAACATGCAGCTTCATTTATCTGTTGGAGCTCTCTTCCATTGTATTAGTGCATGAATATAATGTAGAGTAAAAAGAACGTAAAACATCATAAACATCAAAACAAATGTTTTATATGATGCAACTTGTCAAAATGAAATTTTTTATCCAAGATGCTAATCTCAAAACAACAGAACAAAAGAGAAGTCTGATCTAAAAACAGCCCAGTGTCTAATTAAAAGCGAAAGCAAACAATACATTTTTGATTCGTCAGTTCTTCAGGTTCTGTGCAGCACATGTACTCAAAGCAGCTTCACCATGTTTGGATAATATTCTTGATACAATTAGGAGGCAGATGTTGGCAGACAGCTATGAGTAACTGTGATATTGTATTGCTGTGACAATATTCAAAGATGAAATCAAAGTTTTTTAAAATAAAGCCATGTCACTTGTATCAGTTTAATGAAATGCATAGGATTTCTATAGCAGTCCAAAAGACTCAGCAAGTAAAGGATCTAATTAAAATGTCTCACATGCTAATTCCGCTCTGATGCTGGATCTTTTTGTCCACAGTTAATCAAAGTCAGCATGGACAGGACCGTGTTTGTGACACTCCTGCTTACAGGTGAGATGTGATTTATGTGATGATTGACAGATGGTAGTTTTGTGGAAAATGGTTTTGTTTTCCATCTGCAATGTGTATAGGTGCTACTAGAAGTCAAGAAATTTAAAGTACGTACTATTTGTATTAATACACATTACACAAGTATTCAGAAGGAATAATTATTTCTATGCACATTTTACATCTCTAACCATTAAAACGTCAATTCTCATTTGAGTTAATCATGTATCTGTGAATGAGGGGGGTATAGATAAAGTGAATGACACCTTTTATCAAGGTGTGCGTGATTATTAGGTATTATTATACTTCATTACATTAGGTAAAATTGTAAAATGCCTTTCAGACTGATGCAACTCTCTTGAAATAGCTAAACTTTTGAGGCGTGACCACAGGACCATTAAAAGTTTTGTTGCAAATTGTCAGCTGGGGCACAAAAAGCGCATGGAGAAGAAAAGGTAAAAATTAACTTCAAAAGACTTGAGTAGAAATAAATGTGAAGCTACCAGGAACCCATTATCCTCCAGTCCCACCATATTCCAGAACTGCAACCTACCTGGCGTGTCCACAAGTACACGGTGCCAAGTGCTCATGGGTAAGATCGGGAAGGATCAAACAAGACCACCACTGCATAAGATTCACATGTTGATGCTTCCAAACTGGGCAAAAGAAATACCTGAAGACAGATTTTTCAAAGGTTTTACAGACAGATGAAATGAGAGTGAATCTTGATGGACCAGATGGATGGGCCCATGGCTGGATCACTGATGGACACGGCACCACTTCGAGTCAGGAGCCAGCAAGGTGGAAGAGGGGTACATTTGTGGGCTGCTATCATTAAGGATTTTGGTTTGAAGATGGACTGAAACTCAACTCCCAACCTCCTGTCAGTTTCTGGAAGATACTTTCTTCAAGCAATAGTACAGGAAGAAGTTCTTGGCATTTAAGAAGGCCATGATCTTCATGCAGGACAATGATCCATCACATGCATCCAAGTACTCCACTGCTTGGCTAGCCAGCAAGAGCCTCAAAGAGGCCCAAATAATGGCCTGGCCCCCTTCCTCACCTGACTTGAATTTTATTGAGAACTTCTCAAACGTGAGATTTATAGTCAAGGAAGACAATACACCTCTTTGAACAGTATTAGTTGTAATTTTGGGTTGTTACACATACTCTCTTAACAATTCATTTGATAGAAATACTTTTGGTCATTTAGTTGTCTAATAATTCTGCACACATATTCTTTTGAGCAAGACAAAACTCACTGCTCCTTAGTTAAACATTCAGGTTTGAGGGTCAATTATATTTTGGATTGACTGAGACCATTGTGTTTGTTCAATGATAAAATGAATCCTGAGGAATAAAATTTGCCTAATAATTGTGCACGCAGTGTAAACCATAAAGGAGGTGGAAATATTCTATATTAGAAAGATTTAGTGTTAATCTGCTGCTGCTGTAGTTGTAGACATACATTGTATGCCTTGTTTCATGGCTGTTGACTTCCTCACTCTTGCTCAATACTGGGCTAATTTCAAAAACTGTTGTCCCCTTTAGTCAAATAAAGGGGAAATAGGCTACAATTTGAAAATATCGGAAGTCACCCTTTAATGCTAACTCGAACATTTGACAGGTATCAAAAATGCTCATTTCAACTTGAAAAAAATGCCATGCAAACATTTGGTGTTACTACTCCAACTATCTCTGTATCACATTTAAATCTCTTTTGGTAATTATAATTGTTTCCAAGCAAGTAGGCTACACATGTCAAAACAAATTATATATTAAGAAAATCCTACATTCCAACAAATGCATTTCCCTCCTCAGGTTCCTGCGTAACCTCCCTTTCCTATCCAAACCTCTACTACTTTGTCAGACAGCAGATGACTTGGAAAGCTGCACGAATCTACTGCTCCACTTATTTCACGGAATTGGCCAGCGTACTTAATTTAGCAAATGTGACCACAATGATGAACACTCCAACCGGGGGATACACAGGCAATGCCTGGATAGGACTGTATCAGAGCACCTCAAGATGGCACTGGCTGAATGATCAGAAAGTCGGATATACCAACTGGAATACTGGTCAGCCAGACAACATTAATGCCAGTGAGTTCTGTGTGAGCATGAATAGCGATGGATACTGGAACGATGACAGCTGCTCAGAATTGAAACCTTCTGTTTGTTTTACTGGTGGGTATAAATCAAGATTACTGTGCACTGAACACTTTTGAGCTTCTGATAGACTAATTTACTACATTCAGACATAAATGTACTTTTCACTCCACTAGACATAATTGACAGCTGTATTTACTTTGCATATTAAGATATTAAATTCAAAACCTGCAAAAAGCTCACAAAATATCACTACATATCAGTAGAGATGTCCCAATTAAGTTTCTTTTAACCGAATCAAATCTGATTATGTTGTATTTACCAAAGTCACATAGTTGCCCAATGCACTATTTAGCTACAACCAGAAAATATATTTGTGTCAAAGATGCTCAGTATACATAGTAAAATTGATAATAATGTACATAGCAGCAGATGATATGTACTATTGATTAAATATCACATTGCTCTAGATGCTTATGTACATTTCTTTCACTTCTGTTGAAATTAAGGTTGGAGCTATTACCTCATTAAGGAAGAAATGACTTGGAAAGGTGCGGTAACCAATTGTAAAGTGTTTTTAACTCTGGCCAACATCCCCGATGAAATGACAAATTATGAAATCCAGTATGAGCTGTCAGATGTTTCAGAAGTGTGGATTGGCCTCAGCAGACCTAATGAATGGTTGTGGTCACACACTGGAAGAATCTACAGATACTTAAACTGGCAGCCTGGACAACCTGACAACAGGAACGGAAAAGAAAATTGTGCTACCGTAGTGGTGGGAGATGGAACCTGGACTGATGAACAGTGCAACACAGCATTCCCTTTCTTCTGCTATGGAAGTATGAATCACTCACATTTCCATTTCCAGCAGGGGTTTTCAAAGTCACAGACACAGACAAACCCCTGCCTTAAATCACAAGTTAGATGCCAGAAGTGATGGGTGCAGAACACTTTTTTAACCACAAGTGTGTATTGATCTGGTTAAAGGTTAAGTTTTGCAGCTAACATGCTTCTTGTTCTTGCTCATAGTTAATTATGCACCTGTCAAACAGTGCAGATAGTCCAATGACATCTTTAAGTTTAGATTGCTCTTTAGGTAGTGTTTTTTTTTTTAATACCAAGTATTTAAATAAATTAACGCTGCTGCTGGCCAAGAGTATGGCTGCAACTAAGGATAGTTTTCCATATAAATTATTATTTTCTCAATGAATCATTTGTTCAATAAAATGACTCAAAATTGCATAAAAGAAATGTCTGCCAATTTTTCTAAAGCCCAATGTGGTTTCAAATTTCTGTCTTGTTCCAAAGTTTCAAAGATCCCAACAACTAGCAAAGCTATGAGAGTGAGGATGAAGATCCAGTCCAGCGCAAACTTGGAAGATCCAGCCTGCAATGCCACCCTGCAGCAGAAGGTATAGTGTCTGTATGTGTAACCGAGTCAAATAGTAAAGGGTTCAAATCCCCAAATAGTCAATTACCAATTGCTATGGAGTTCCCCACAATTAATAAAATTCAAAGACACGAGTTTCGACCGGAAGGAAGATTTATTTAAACAAATCAGGCTTTGGGCAATTTTATTCGCTGCACAAGCACAACAATAAAAACAAATAAGATGTGGCCAATACTGTCAGAGATGCTAAGGGATAAAAGCACATGGTTAAAAACACCTCAGCATCTACAGGGGCCAGACCTGCCGGGTGGTGGGGTTACCTGTGGGCCACCCATGTGCCTTGACACCACCACTCACACTCGTGCGCAGCCACCTAGACACAGCAAGATACACACAAACATCACACAATAAAACTAAGTAAAGCATGCACACAGCTGTCATACCCACCACCACATGCATTGAAGGAGAAAGGGGTTCCCACAATCCACCACCCTGTCTGTCCGGCAGAACACTAAAAAGGGGAAAAAATGGCTAACAAGCTGAGGAAAATCGTACAGACAAAAAAAAACAGGGAAAACCGGCACACCCCTAGAAGACCCCGGCAGTTGGCAACAACATTCACAGGGGCCCATCCACCTGTAACAAATCTCATAATATAATAGACATAACAATTCAAACACAGGTTGCGGCAGTTAATCAGGCAGGCAAAACAGCAGTGGCTACAACCCTAAAATTACGAGAATTTAATTAGTTCAGTTGTTTTACACACACACACACACACACACACACACAAACACACACACACACACACACACAGCACAAACAAACTTGCTAAATACCTGACAAAATGATATTTACCTCACACAATGCAGTAAGTAGTCAACCCAGCTCTGACTCCACCTCGTTTATGGATCAGATGTTTAGGCCCACTGCAATGTGAATCATGTTATCAAAAGGCACCCAAACTAGTAAACTTACATAACTCTATTAGACAACATCCTTTTACCTCAGCATTACCCACTGCCTTCTCTGTGGTGAACCTTTAGCACGACAGGCTATTCAGCTGACGAGGTCTGGACGACAGTGGCTTAAAATACCTGTGATTAAAAGATGTTCACAAGTTAAAAACATTGTCAGCCTTGACTCATAACTCCTACAAGACATACCTGCTCTGATCTGGGGATTCGCAGCCCCCATCTCTCTTAGCCTTACTGGTCCTGGGAGGTGATACCGATTTCCATGTTTACCAGCCATACTTCGCATTGTTCTCCTAGGGGCCGTAGATCAGTAGTCCGCGGTGTGTGTAGCTTCAGTTGCCAATGGCACTTGTAGAGGGGCCCTAGACCCTTGAAGCATGGGCGATTTCTGGTGGGCCATAGGGATAACCTGATCACTAGGCTGTTGAAAATGTCTGGAGCTACGGATTACCCAGAAGCCATCAGCTAGATCTCCATCATCCCTTGGCCCCTGCAGTGGTACCTTTTCAGTTTGATGGAGCTGGGGACACAGACTGGGAGGGACCAGCTTCAGCATCGTCTGATGCACCTGGCACCGCTGAGTGGTGTCATGCAAGGGTGCGACTGGATACACTGCCCCATCTGGTGCAGGGGCCTTCACAATCTTGTACAAGACAGAACTCCAGGCATCTTGAATCTTATCGCGCCCTTGGTGGGAGTGGTTCTGAAGGTAGACCAGCTGGCGTTCTTCCAGATGGTCATCTCTCACTTTATTGTCATGCCTCTCTTTCCGGATTTGTGCAGCTGTTTTAATTCTCTCCCTAGCACAGTGGAACGCCACCTGGAGGCGCTTCTGGTGCTCCTGGATCCACTGGCAAACTCCTGCACCATCCTGTTCCTGGACCTGGCCCAGGAGGAAATCTACTGGAATCTGTGGCTCTTGGCCAAACATCAACATGTACGGAGACTCACCGGTTGACTGATGGATTGTGGTGTTGTAATTGAATACAAGTTGCAGAAGGTAATCGGGCCAGTTGCACTTGAGTTTGGGGGGAAGAGTGTGCAGCAGATCATGCATGTTCCTGTTGAATCGTTCAAATTGCCCATTCCCCTGTGGGTGATATGGAGTAGTGCAGGTCTTCTGGATACCATACTGGCCACAGAGCTGCTGAATCAGAGCACTTTCAAAATTTATGCCTTGGTCTGAATGAATGCGTGCAGGGACCCCACAATGCCTACAGGGAGATCCTGATTGCTCTCTATAAATCAACTCCTAAAGCGGCACAGGTGTGTGCCTGCTTCTAGAGAGACAGGGGGGTGGAGCTTCACTGAGAGGTTATAGCTGACCATGGCCTTACTAGACCAAAAGCCTGCCTATCACATCTGTGATATGTATTACTCATGTTATGGGGACCAAAGCTTTTGGATGAATAAACACCAGGAGTAACAGCGTATTCTGCTCTGATCCAGAGCCGTTTCTTGCGGGGATCAGAATAAGGGCTTAATAATCATGTGTTAATCTGACTTACTATAGCAGTGTCACCCCGAAGGGACCAGATTTTGCTAAAAGTAACTGCATCATGATGCCGATTTGTAAACGTCTGAATTCATACTTTGTCAGGTCTGTCTGTGAGATGATAAGCACACAACTTTTAAAATGCTTCTTTTTTAATGCCGTTCGGATTGTTCAGGGCTATGCTATGCTTACTGTCATAGTGAATATGCTGGAATCCAGTCAGACAACAGATACATATTTTTAGGATTTACCAGGTAGCTCAAATTTCTCGCTTACTTTTCTCCAAGAAGTCTCCTTTTAGAGTTAGGGTTAGTGTTAGGTTAAGTAGAGCTCTTTTTAATCCCAAAATTTAAGAAACTAAATTAATTCTGACCTCCTCCTGCAGGTAAAAAGTTAATTAAAACAGAATCTGGTGTAACTGCACAAATTCGCATCTTTGCATAGACTTTGAATGTAGTCGCGCCTCAAAAAATTTGCTTAGTTTTCTGTGTGAATACAACATTAGGGATAGGGTAACACCTCTTCCTAACATACAGCTAGTGAGTAAGCTCTAATGGATAGAGAATGAAACATTGTGTTTTATATACTACGAGCGATGTTGCCCATGTTGACTGCTGACTGAAGGGGAAACAGAAACGTCAAGGAAGTTATTGTAGATTTTGCCCAATGAAAATATGTTGGAGGTGTGCGAAACATCACAAAACATAAAGACAGTGTGAGGGTTTAAAAAAAAAAAAAAACTTCACTGACGCATAAAGCAGGTTAGGACAGGTCCATTGGGAAAAACTGAAACAACCTGATATTCCCTTGACGTCCTGTTAGGAAGAGGTGAAAGTCTCCAAGAAATGAATGTAAGTCAATGTAATGTCAACTGTGTGAGTCTGTGGGCGCATAGATGATAAAGGTATACAAATTAGAGGACAAAACAAAATACTATGAGTATCATCTTTCTCCTTCTTTAGTTAAGTGCAGCGTTTGCTAATCGGGGAGTGACTGACTTTAAGTTGACCTGGAAGAAACTGCCGGTGAAGCAGGCACAAGAGAAAATTACGATCAAAGGTACACACACTGATAATCGTACACACATACACACACAATGAATCTTTTCTAACAAACAAAATGCTTTTTTGTCTTTCCATTTAGATGCTTGCTGACCCTGTGAGAGTCACTCCCACAAAGATGCACTAAACATTGTTCATACAAAGAAGGTTAATGTATGTAGTTCAGTAAGTGACTGTGGGAACACATAGAATATGTTATTGCTGACCCCTTTTTATTTAAAGACTTGACTCAGAAAAGCTCAGGCTCGGCACGTTTTACTTTTTGTGTGTTTTGCGTGCAGTTAGAATAAATTCAGCAGTGTTGCATCTGCAGTGTAAGGATGCAGCATGTTTGACACGTCATGTGACTTAAGGGTTATGTTGAGTGATATAGCGATGTAGAACAAATATATAATAACACATATATATAAGAATTATTATGTGTTTCTGTAATACTGAATGTTGTTTCATTATTCTATTTTCTTGTAAATCTCACAATGCTGTGGTTGTAAAGTCATTCATAAATATTAACATAAAACAGTGAATAAATACATCCATTAAAAATAGAATTAAAGGAATAGTCTGGTAATATTCTATATTTTTCCAATTGTCAACAAACGTCATGAAAAGACGAAAACCAACATTGAATTGATCGTACTAACAATTATTGTCTGTCTTGTCTTGTCTTAAGCAAGGGTAGGCAATGTTGGTAAAACTAGCAAGAGACGGATAGATTTTAAAGGTATCCAACTGAAAAAATCCAGCCCATTCTCATCTCAGGGCGTCCAAATCACACCCCACACCTTCAGACCTCCCTCCAAAGCCACTTCCCCAAAACACATTTTTATGCGCAATGAGTGGTACAGGTACAGGTAGGCCAGCCAGTCATTTAATTTAGACCAAATGAAGTGATTGGACGTACTTATTACAGTCCTGCAACATCAACATATACCACATTTATTTCATTTTTGTGTCAGAGCATTTGATTTAGTGTTTAAAGGTGAAGATAATTTCAACAAAAAATGCTTCTGAAATAAATTGCCTACACTAGCTTTAAAAGCACATCCTTTCCTACATGAATATGGTCACTGTAGTTTATTTTGAGTGAAAAAATGCACAAATTTCCTCCTGTTTATTTACTTTAATAATACATTTTTCATGATGTATTTGCAGAAGTGTGGACTTAAATAGTGTTTGATATATGACACAGAGGAATGAGACAGTAATTGTTGGTACGAATGTAACGTTGGTTTTTTCGCGAGATTTTCTTAACACTAAGATAAATATAGAAAAATTCCAGCATCATCCTTTATTAAGCGAAAAAAATAACGTTATTTATTTTTTGTAAACAGTATGGTGCTTTCACATCTAACCTGTTTGGTGCATTTCAAGCCAAATCTGGTGCCTTTGCCCAGTTCAGATGATTTGCGGGTGGTGTGAAAGCTGTCAGTCAAACTGTGTCTGGTTTCAAAGTGTTCAGTCTGGCTTCTTCGATTTTAGCTTGAATTCAAAGCTTTCCTACATATATATATATATATATATATATATATATATATATATAGTTTGTTTGTGACGAGTAATGCATATATTTATGCAAAAAGATCATATGATAACACATATCTTTCCAATATTACAAGATGTCCCTTTTGATTTCCCCACTTGGGTCAATTTAGCACTGATGATGCAGGACGACAGTCACCAAAACTGTGGAATGAATCCATCCAAAATGTAATGTATGTACAAAATGTATTTTTTTGGTATAAACCAAGCAAACTATGATCTGAGGGCACCTTTAAAGGCTTTGTGTACCCATCCCCCACTGCAACCTTACTTTTCACTATGTTATAAGGTCACTCTACTTCCTACAAAGAGAGAGATTTAGCATCAGGTAAGGTTAAGTAAGTTAAGTAAACTTTCCCCTGCAGAATTGTCCAATTTGAATGCTACTTCCAGGGATACTGACCCAGGGGTTACACTAAAAATAAAAAGATATATATTTTTTTCTATTTGCATTTACATTTACCAGTTGGATTATGATTAAACAAACACTCCCTTTGGCTGTCACCCTGCATGACAAAATTAAAAGACGAAGAAAAGTTTAGCAAGAGTATAGTATAATAATATAATATAGAATAGTAGAATAGATTCATTATAGATTCATTTAGTTGCTAATATTATATATTAAGTTGATCATGTAATTCTGTTATCAATCCCTATATACTTAAATATTAATAAATGTAATGTACAGTAATAAAAGTGTTTCATTTGCAAGACCTCTATGGTCCTCCACATAGAATATTTATTCTATTTTGACTTGTAGTGTTTTTGCTTGTTTACTAAATAAACATAACAGAATTAACATTTCATAACAGTGTGTTCTGCTGTGTTCCAGTGGTCAAGAATTGTTATTGGTGCTCCTTAGGTTTTGT